GCCGGCCACAATAAAGATTTCACCGATTAATCGGGATTTCGAGGAGGCTGAATCTTTGTCCCCTGTCGATACGAGAGGTAACACCTCTCCAACGGTTTAAGCTGTTGGAGCTGTTGAAAACGGATTGCACGTGACCAAATGTACGTTTTGAGGGTTGATACGAAGGGTTCCATTCCGTGTCGAAAATTAAATTTATTGAAACTCATTAAAATCTTAAATATACTATATTTTGATTTGATAATTTTTATTTTAAAAAATATTTATAATCATAAATCTATTTAAATTATTAAAACAACAATACATAAATTAAACTTAAGTATCTTTTAATTAATAAACAAGTCTCTCTAATTAGATATAAGAAGCCGCCATATTATTTAATTTTAATGATTCGATATTTAATTATTTAATATTTTCTCTTAATTTTTATAGTAATGTATCTAATCCTACTACACCCTTATTCGTGTCGATCATAGTTGGAGTAGAGACGAAAGTTAAATTTGGATGTAATAAGGAGGTGGAAGATATCTCTTCTTTTTTCCTGTGTTATATATTATATATTCAATAGGAAGGATAAAAGAACGGATATCGGATATTTTGGGTTAGTATAATGTAATATCTTTGCGATATCGAAATTGGAAATCGTGTATTTCATATCTGTATAGTGAAATACTATTGCAAGTTTAGAATTGAGGCATTATGCAAGTACTTTATTCTATCTATATATAAAGGAATAAATTTCTAAATTAAATAATGCAATCATTGCAAGAGATAAATAATGGAGAAAACCGTGATATTATTTATTTTACTCATCAAAGTAATTATTAATGCATATCCGTTAAATGTTTTGGATCGTTAAAATTTCTCAATTAAATATTTCCCTGTTCCAAGATTGGATTGAAAAGGTGTATTTACCGGTGATCCACGTGCCGTTGAAACTTTTCGGGGATAAGGAGCCCGCGAGCCATTCCTCGAGAGAAATACCAGATGCGAGCGGGGCCCTCGAGCCTGAGGAATC